TTTCTGGACTATCAAGCAAGGAATGAATATTGTCACAGAAAAATTGGGAAAATGGAAGCATGGCTCCGTGAACAAGAGGCCCGGGGACAGATTCTCTGGGACATTTCCAGCTCAGACTCAGATGAGCAGGGAAATGATGATAAGAAGCCACGAGCACTGGTGAGGACCAGGACAGAGAGAATCCCACTTTTTGATGAATTTTTTGATGGAGAATAAGAGTGTCACTCACTCAGTGAGACAGTGGGGGCACTGAAAATTTGTTTTCCTATCCTTCAAGTTAGATTTTTTATTGACTTTGAGGAAAGCAATTCACCTTAATAAACAGGATACCATTTTGGAGTCTTCTGTCTAGAAGATCTATCATATATCTGATAACTATTGCTGTAGAACTACCTGCTGCTCAACATTGAGGGGCTGAAACAACGGCCATTCTGTTGTCTCACCCTTCTGTGGGTGGCTGGGCTCAGCAAGGCGACTCTTCTGCTGGTTTCTTTTGAAATCTCCCATGTAGTTAAAATCAGACTAGAGTCTGGACTAGAGCCATCTGGAGGCTTAATTAGCACACTGGAATAGCTGGGCCCTGCTTCCTCTCCATACAGTCTCAGAGCCACTTCCCATGGCCTCTGCTGCTGGGTGGAGACATTTTCTATGAAGAAAAGGGATATCAGCCCTTTTTTTCTATTAGCCAAGGGCTCCCAAAAGCAAATGTACCAAGAAGAGGAAACAGAAGCTGCCAGTCTCGAGGTCTCTAGTCATGGAACTGGCTCTGCAGTACATCCAGCACAGCTGTTGGTAAACAGGAGTCAAATGCCAACAAAAGTGTCTACGCAGGGCATGAATGCCAAACCATAGTAATTTGGAGTCCCCCTTAGAGCCTTGCTACCACACCATGCTTTTTAAAGCAAATTATACCATATAGAATAAATAAATGAGAGAGTAGATTTGATACAAATGAAAGTGAATTTCTAAGAAAATCACAATTACGCTATATTGGACACTAAGCTTGTTTAGGTCACATTTTTGTGAGTTGACCATAACAGAAAGGCTTCAAGAAAAAAATGGAATAATGTCAGATGTGAAAGGTCATTATGAATTAATAATAGCTCAAAATTAAGAACTCTTAGATTATGATGTTGATTTTAGAGCTCTTTGAAACTTAAAGAATGGGCCTGGAGTTGTAACTCAGTGGTAGAGCACTTGCCTAGCACGTGTGAGGCCCTGGGTTCGATCCTCAGCACTACATAAAAATAAATAAATAAAGG